TGCAGAGGAGATGTTTACGACAGTCTTGAAGCGGGTGTTAGAAGTTTACCAGGAGAGGGGCGCCTGGGTGGCTCAGTCAGATTCCGTGTTCAACTCTTGGTTTCGCTCAGGTCATGATCTGAGGGTTGTGGGATTGAGCCCTCCGTTGGGCTCCATGCTTAGCATGGAGTCTCTGGAGATTCTCTCTCTCTCTCCCTCTCCTCTTGCCCCTCCCCTGTTTGCTCTCTCTCTCAAATAAATAAATAAAATCTTACCAAAAAAAAGAAAAGAAGTTTGCTAGGAGAACAAATTGGAGAAGGAAGCTATTCTAGCGGAGAGAGACGCTCCTGAAAAGGCCTAGTGGAGGGCTGGAGCTGGAATTGCTAGGGGCTCAGTACGGCTGAAGTGTAGAGTGTCTATGGAAGAAGGAAGGATAAATAGGCAGGCCTCAGGCCGTGAGCCTTGTTAAGGAAACTAGATTTTACACCAAGTGTATTGGGTAACCATTGAAGGGATTTAGCAAAATGAGGACACCATCTGACTTGTATTTCAGAAGTGTGGTTGATGCATGGGGGTCAGGGAAATGGCACCAAGATCTCTAGGTCTGACAGGGTTCCTCTCTGTCTGAGGAAATGAACCTTCCTCTTTAGGACCTGGGTTAGGACTTCCTTTTTAGGACTTCATAATGGTTCATGAAGGGCCTCCTAACTTGCCTTGTGTCCTGATCTACTGTGCTTTGTCCTCAGCTATATGCTGGGTGACTGCTAATCTATTCTTCTCTTTTTTTTCAAGTGATTTACATTTGTATAATCTGGAGCAAATTCTGGGGTATCCTGCTTGCTGATTTGTGCTCTATTATATAAAGGAGAGAGATGGAGTTGCGGGGCAGGGGGGCACCAGGAATTATGTTGGGCTCAGAATGTGCCCCGGGAGTTTGTGTTGAATATAGAACTGGGGGTATATGGACGTGGATAGCTTTCAGAGAATCAGTTTCCAGGCCCTCAGATTCCACAGGTATTCCTTCCTGAAAGCAATCTGACTGGATTTTTTTTTTTTTTTTTAGATTTTGTTTATTATTATTATTTTTAAGTAGGCTCCACAGCCAGCATGGAGCTCAGTGTGGGACTTGAACTCATGACGCTGAGATCAAGACCTGAGCTGAGGGGTGCCTGGGTGGCGCAGTCGTTGGGCGTCTGCCTTCCGCTTGGGTCGTGATCTCAGGGTCCTGGGATGGAGCCCCGCATCGGGCTCCCTGCTCAGCAGGAAGCCTGCTTCTCCCTCTCCCACTCCCCCTGCTTATGTTCCCTCTCTCGTTTTGTCTCTCTCTCTCTGTCAAATAAATAAATAAAATCTTAAAGAAAAAAAAAGACCTGAGCTGAAATCAAGAGTTGGACACTTAAAACCAACTGAGCCACCCAGGCTCCCCCGACTGGATTCTTTTAAGTTCTCCTTGTGAACTCCTTCCTTCCTTCCTTCCTTCCTTCCTTCCTTCCTTCCTTCCTTCCTTCCTCGCTTGCTCTCTTTCTTTCTTTGTGGGCTTCATTCCCAACGTGCAGCTTGAACTCAAGACCCTGCGGTTAAGAGTTGCATGCTCCACTGCTGAGCCAGCCAGGAGTCCCTAACTATGCTTTCATTATTTCCCTTCTCTAGCTCTGCTAGATTTGTCCTGAATCTTTCTATGGTGCATTGCTCGGGGCTATAAAAACCAGAAGGACAACTGGAGAATGCTTTGTTCCTGAGAGATCAGATAAGATAAACTGAAGGGGTGGTACCTTACTGCAGACTCTTAGAATTTACTTTTCATTTTATTTTATTATTATTTTTTAAGTAAGCTGTACACCCAGTGTGGGTTTTAGACTCATGACCCTGAGATTTGAGAGCACATACTCTACCAATTCGGCCAGCCAGGCACCCCAGCAACTAGAGGTTTAATAGGCTGCCCAAGGTCACAGAACTATTAAGTGGCAGAATCAGGACTTGAACTCCAGAACCTCCCCTCTAGAATTTGTGCTCTTATCCATTATCCTACTCTACTTTAATTGAAGTGCCTTAGCTCTTTATCTGTGTATTGTAGAATTAATTGGGACCTGAACTGGTTGTCATGGGGATATAGATAAACTCATTTATAGAAATTTTAAAAAATAAAGGTGGATTTTTCTTACAGGCAGAAAATTATTCTGCTTTGGCTAATTGGTTGGACAGTGAGCACTGGCTTTGACAATTGGATTACGTGGCAGACATTTTCCAAAAACTGAACAAACTAAATCTGTAATTCCAAGGCTTAGATGAAAACATATCTAAAGCATGTTTCTAATAAGACTATGCCAGAAAATTCTGTCTTGGAACCTATTTTAACTTGTGAAAAAGATTTTATTCATTATCATACAATGTGTGCGAGGGTCATAGCTTTTTCAAAATCTAATGGGGATTCGTGAGCAAAACAATGTGAAGACTTCTGGCATATGGCTTATACACATCACTGGCCATGTGTGTCATGCTGGGGATGAGGCTCCTGATCAGGTGAGCTGAAGTGGCTTGTCCACGGGGCAGAAGTGAAGCAAGATCAGGCATTTCTGATGCTATGATTTCTATTACTCCATACTTCCTACCTTCTTCATTTCTTTCTTTTTTTTTTTTTAAGATTTTATTTATTTATTTGAGAGAGAGAGAGAATGAGAGCAAGAGAGCACATGAGAGGGGGGAGGGTCAGAGGGAGAAGCAGACTCCC